GTAGGAGTAGGAATAGGAGTAGGAGCTACAGTGGCAGCAGTAGTTGTAGTCGGAGTAGCGACGGAGTCAGGGGTACAACCTTTACGTTACTGCCGTTCCTCCCCTTACGGCTTCCACGCAGAATTCTCCTCAGAATACTGCCGCACAAAACGCATGCAAGTCCCCAGTCTTCTTGTCCGTCGCGAACCGTCCCCGGACTACAAGCGCACCATATACGCCTAAGGCCAGGAACGGGGCTGGGGCTGGTGCTGGTGGTGTTGGTGGTGTTGTTGGTGTTGGTGGTTTTGGTGTTGGTGGCGTTGGTGGTGTTGGTGGTGTTGATGGTGTTGATGGTGTTGGTGGTGTTGGTGTTGGTAGTGTTGGTGGTGCTGTTGGTATTGGTGGTGGTGGTGGTTGTGGCGGTGGAGCAGTACAGCCGTATACAGACGGTCAGAAGTACACTCGCAGAGAGCAGTGCTCAACCACAGTGAATCCCTGCAAGAGGGCCTTAGACCCAGAAACGTGACCTCCCTAAACTAATCACAGTTTCCATCTCGTTTTCCATCCTTTCCATTTGAGTTTCCATTATTTGGGGTAGTACCCCAAAACCCTAAACCCTAGGAATAATGGAAAATAACATGGAAACGACTATAATGGAGAATCAAATGGAAAAGAAAATGGAAAATGAAATGGAAACTGGGATTATAAGGTACCCTAAACCCTACTTGGAAATCCTCATCATCAATGTAAACTCCAGAGACGTCCGCAGGGAGCGTTCCTTAGTCTCCTCTGGCGACTTGAGGGGCGACCCTAAACCCTAAACCCCAAAGGGTTTAGGGGTTTAGGGTTTAGGGTTTGGGGGGCGACCCTAAACCCTAAACCCCAAAGGCAGAACGGTTTGTGGGATGTGGCTTCCTGCAGGAAGGTATGGAGTGGCGGTCGCTACGGTTTAGGATTCAGAAAGGTTTGGGCTTTAGGGTTCAGAAAGGTGCTATGCTGCTTCAAACCCCTATCTAATCCCATTTTCCATCTCATTTTCCATCTTCTGTTCCGTTCGATTCTGAGCTGTTGGGGGGATATATCTCCAAACCCTATAATAGATTCGGTTGATACTAAACCCTAGATCTAGATGACATCGTAGTTTCCATTTTCTTTGCGGTGAGTTTGTATACCCCTATATACCCCCTATAACCCTAAACCCTAATCCTCGGCCCAAGGCGTTTTCCGATTGGCGTCGTCCGAGTTGCACCTCACCCTTTACAAAACCCTACAAGTAAACCCCTCTATACAACTCGAAACATGGAAACTACTGTTCAGGGCTTAGGGTCAGGGGATATCTCCCCCAAACATGGAGAATCAAATTGAAAAGCATATTGAAAATGAAATGGGAAGTGGGATCACATAAATGCCCTTGCGGTCCTTTCCGCCAAGCTAGTGTTGGCAGTCTGGTGTGTGGCGTGCTTCATGTTGTGCTATGAGCTGACACGCCGGTATTTGGGTCGTTTGTGCTGGGTGTGGGTTCAGTTTGTTAGTTTCGGGCCTGTCTGTTCCTTCCGCAACTATTCTTGCAAGGCTTGCCTTGGGCTGCTCGCAAGCTTGTCGCAGGTCAGGCAAGTGAAGAAGTTCTTCCCAGATTCACCGCTGCTTGTTCCAAATAGGAGCATCGACAGAAGACCAGGGTATATACTGTAGTACTTGAGGGTCCATAGTACCCTTCATGGTTTCGGCTGCAGTGCGGGAAGGCAAGCACCCCGTCCGTCAACTCACGTGGGCTGGTTCCACCAAGGATTTATGCGATGAGTGATGGCGGTTTGGACTTTAGCAAGCTGTGTGCAGAGGCTCGCGGGTAAGTCATTGCTGTGCACAACAATCATGCCTCCGAGACTTTCTGTACCCATTTCCACGAGAGGCTCCTTACGTAGGCGTGGGCCGTCCCCAGTGAGGTTCAAAGGCAGTCGCTGGGCAGGTTCACACTCACAAGCATTGCCAGGAGGGTTGCAAGTTTGTGCTATGTCCGCCCGCGAAGCTTGGCTGAATGACGTGCGCCATCAGGCGGCAGGAGGCGTCGCGAGCAACTAACACGCAAGACTGATGTCAACCCTAGAAGTTTCCAGTGATTCGAGGAACGACCGTTGGCATCCGTGGCCCTTCTTTCGCCGCCTGTGGGATGCAGCTAATAGCGTCTTGCTTAATATGTGGAGAACTAATTGGAAAATCACATGGAATTTAGATGGAACATGAAGCACGAACGAGGGCTATCTAGGGAGGTCTGATGTATAGATGAATGGAAAAGAACATGGAAACTAGGGGTCTTGTGTTTCTTCTCGAGTTGGGGACGGAATCCTTCGTGTAAAGCCTCCGAGCTTGATACTGCTGCGTTCTCGCGCAGGGGATGTAGTCCCTTCCCCCTACTCCTATAACAGCCCCCCCACCCTCCGAAGAGAACGTTTGATATTAGAGGTTTTCACAGGGACACTGGGCCCTAAACCCTAAACCCTGTGACAAGGTCAGTAATCCGTTAACCATGTAATGCCGAGGAGCAGCTAAAGTCCACACCTTGATTTGAGGTTTAGCTCGAATACTGTTAATACTTTTTTTTTGTTGTAAATATTAACATATAAATTGTAATTATACTATAGCGAATATTGGTAACTTTATCTTTGCCAAGATTAATCTGATGCCATCAACCCCTGGGTTGATTCTTTTACGGCCTCTGTGCTGTTGCGCTTGAAGGTTTGCCGGTCAAGTACATCATCATGTTGGAGCCTGACAACACCGTGCTTCTTGTCGGAAGAGGGTGCAATGGAGCCTTGTACCCTAAACCCTGACCCCCAAACCCCCCCAAAACCCTAAACCCTAAAGTGCTTCAGCGTGTTTGCAGGCATGGCTATCCAAAGCGGCCACCGGGGGCTGACCTTGGCGGACTGCTGGTGCGCCATGGCTATACTATATTATATTACAATATAGTATGATATACTATAATATACTATGGGTTTAGGGTTTGGATATGCTATGATTATATTCTCGTATAATATACTATATAACCCCTATATCCATCAGGCTGCATCCCTACATTCTGCTTTCAAGTTGACGTGCTCAGCTTGCTGGACTTATACCAAGAGGCTTGTCTACGCTCTGCTGCCCGCTTGCCGCGCTGAGGCAAGGTCGATCTTTTGGCCTCGTTCGTTATGTGGCTACTTGGCCAGCTACATTAGAACTTTAGCTGGTTCTAGGCTTCGCATCCGCATTGCCTAGATCATCAAGGGTGCTTGTTCGGCTGGTGCATGTGCAATCTGGACCCAGGAGAAGCTTGCGCAGCAGAGAGCTCCAGGCTTCAAGTGGACAAAGTACTTGGGCCGCAGCAGCTAGAAACTGCTTTGCAATTACTTACTGGGGGTTAACTAGTACAAGTAGGGCATAAGGGAATACATTAGGGATTGTATTCCTTTATTCCCTAAAAACCAGTAAGGCTAGGAGGCTTCTGCGGATTTGACTGCATCAAAGACATCCAGGTGTAGTGAGAACTTTTGGCTTTCACTGCTGGATGGCGAAGCATGTTTGAGCCTCATAACCTTCCCCTATTGCCATAAGTATCTATAACTACTTGGCCCAGGCAGAGCATGTCATCGGGACTGTGTGGTGGTGCTCCTTGACGGACATAATGGAGCACCTACTGAATCTCATGGCCTGCTACCATAATGGGTATATATAGTAATGTGTATGGTTCCCTCCATGTAGTAGGGCGTTCTGAAGCTAGGGAACCCCTGGACGCTAGAGGTTTTGTGGGGTGCAGAAGGTAAGTTTCAATAAGCTCCCTAGGGCTTAGAGTTTAGGATTTAGGGTTGAGGGCTGCCTTTGTCATCTGGACTGGCAGCCGCAAGCAACATCCCACTTAACAGCAACCCAGAATCTTATGACATTTGTCGGCCGTTCAAGTGGGCTTGAATGCCACAGGTGTAGGGTTCAGGGTTAGACTTTGTAGATTTTAGCACGTAGGTAGTTCCCAAAATTAGGGTCCCATTCTGGTACCCCTGAATATGAGGTGCCGTATTATAATCTATAATCACGGGGCGCATAATTTTGAGCGTGACCCACGTGGCATGCTAGGAAGAAAGGCAACTGGGTCAAGTGGACGCCAGATCTGGCTGAAGAGCATTTTAGGGTTTATAGTCACCCTTAGGTAGACAGACTATGTTTAGGGTTCAGGGTTTAGGGTGTATAGTCCCCCGTAGGTAGATAGAATATGGGGTATATAGGGATCTTATTGTGACATACCCAAAGCCACAGCCATGTACTTAAGGGACTGCAGGGTTTAGGGTTTAGTGCTGAAATTTGGTGGCAGCAGTGGCCATGTTAACACCGTCAGATGCCGAAATTGTTTCTAGACCCGTTGGGTCTTTGGTAGAAGGATAGAAAATTGAATAAGACTGCGGAACTTCAACTCTCTGCACAGTGTTGCAACATGAAACCCAAAAGGGAACTCACACAATCTCTATATCCCTTGAGGTTCCCAGGGCCCTCCAAACTCTCATATTAGTGTCATTCAAGCTGTGTGAGAGCAATTTGAGGGAGTTGAACGTTTACGAACGTGCAACAAGAAGTTCACAGCTGTCGTTTCAAGATGCAGGGGAGTGTCCAACGAAGCGGGTTGATCCATGTTTCTGGAGCCAGGGCAGATGATTTTCAGCGCGTCTGGCTTTCACAGCTGAATGTTGTGCATCTACCTACGTGCTACACTTGCAAGGCCTATTTCCGGCGAGAGGCAGTGCTTGTGCCCCCGGTGGCATAGAAACAGACAGGTCGTTGTATTCACTTAGCCACTTTCAGGGCAAGATTTCAGCATGTGCCTGCTGTTTGCCACAGACTCACCGGAGAAAGAACTGTCTACAGATGTCAGGTCACTTCGTTAGACCAGAGCAAAGTACTGTTGCGATGACCATGCAAGTGAAGACGGTACCATGTCCTTGAAATTCACAGTTTTGGTGAAGATCTAAGGATGCCCTATCGGACGAGAACATGATGAGATTGGATTGGAATTACTTAGGCGCTCCATGGCAAGCATATTAAGGGGGATACTAGGAGTTTAGACAATGGCTCATATGGCTTCTTGTGCTTGGGCAGGTGACCGCTTAAGCAAGGAGATCTTTTCGTCGGACTTTGCCATGCAGCAACCTGTCGGAGGAAAATGCTTGGAATTGCAAGGCCTGGGCCTCACCAACTATCATAACAATAGGAATAGTAATAGCAGTAATCAGAATCACAGTTATATTAATAGTGATAGCAAGAAAAGTAATGATAATAACAGTAAGAGTAATGGTAATTGCTGGGTGTTAGTATGACACGAGAACTGAACTACCACTAATTATCATTCTTACTACGAGTATCCAACTATTATTACTGCTTTAATTGTGGTATGTGGTCAATGGGGAATGAAGAACTGCAAAATAACATGAAAACTACATTAGCGTTGGGAAAGTAATTGGACCCATCCTGTCCCTACCAGCAAGCAGCAAGACGGGGTTGCTATTGAGGAGTAAACTAAGTTACCATAATGTGTATATGCACTAATTAATGTGGTCTCCCCAAGTAGTAACTTAAATCAAGTTCCTCAACAGCAACCCAGAAGACTGAGGTATGCCTTTGCAGCGCGGGGCTGGAGGATTGAGCCCTGGGAGGAGACTGCCCAGATCTTGATCTGCACATATGCAGGGGGGTGAGGGCCGGTGGGGGGGGGTACAGGGGTTATAGGGGATATATTGGATATATATATATATAGGGCAAATGGAAAAGAAAATGGAACCTACTATATATTGGTGGTTAGATTGGGATCATGGAAAAAAATGAGAACTACTATTTAGGGTTTTGCGAGGTTTGGGGTTTTGCGTTTCTAGTGCTTTGTTCCCCTGGCCTGGTCTAGAGAGGACTTGCCGGTTGTCAAGCCGGATCAACTGCAATGTTGGCACCCAACCCCTCAATTATGTAAGGGTATGTGGGGTCAACAAGCGTCGCCGCTAATCCTAGCACCGGATTAATTTTGGGGGGGCCCCCCCCCGCCAGATTAAGAAATGGAGGGCGCCAGATTAAAAGAATGATTGGGGCTCCTCGAANNTCAATTAAAAAAGAATAGGAATGCATTCCCGCATTATCGGGGCTCTTGGACCACGAATAATTTAAAAATGAACAGGAATGCATTGAATATCTCGATTTTCAGGATTGGTCCCCCAGAAAATTTCTTTAAATCTAGTCCCTTTTCCCCATACGAAATTCCATCTAATTGAAATTAGTTTTGGACGGCTAATTTTCCCAAAATCTTTTTCTTTAAATATGGCCCCTTTTTTAAAGATTAATCTAGTGCTCGGATTAGGGATGGTGGAGAACCAAATGGCAAAGTTGCAGGACTTCAGCCACTTGTTGGACCCTAAACCCATCTCTGCCAGACGGCGTCACCTCCTAAACTGCCTGGATCCCGCCACAACGCAGCATGCTTAGGAAGCAGACCTTACATGCATGCAGGTGTTCATGCGACTTAATAGGGGTTCCAGAACATTTGCGATCCTCTGTAATGAGGACTATCCTCTATTGGGGCTTACAATGTAGGGCCCAACTCTTTTTGAAAGCCCCACATGCTTACAGATGAGACGTGCCTGGATATAGACATGCCCCAAATGCTGTTGACATGTCAGGATGGACAAAAATCAGCCTTATATAACCCCAATATACTATATAGTAGTTTCCTCCGTTTTATTTCCCAGCCTCCCCATGTTGACATGTCAGGATGGACAAGCATCCGGACCTACCCCTGACTGGAGCCAAAGACGCCGCCTTTCGCCATTACTGCTCGTGCTACCCAGGGGGAAAGCCCACGTACAACTTAAAGGTGGCCAAGTCAGATGCTCGTCTATGAACCCTGCCTAGAAGAGGCGTTGAAAAAACCCCAAGGTGCAACTCTGGAGGCTTTGAGATTTTATAGATAGGGTATCTGTAGGGGTATAATGGAGAATCAAATGGACAAGAAAATGGAACATGAAATGCAGACTACTATTTAGGGTCTAGTAGTTTCGCGTTTAGGGGTCCAACCTTTAATAGACCATCAAATGGAAAACAACATGGACAATGGAATGGAACTTGGGATTATACAGGGCTTGTTGAGAGAATCTGCTATTCCCTGTGCGGGAAGGCAGGTTGCAGCGCGCACAACTTGACTTCACGACTCAAGGCTTGGAAAAACTACAGGACTCTAAACCCCAAACAGCAGTTTCCATTTTATTTTCCAATTTCTTTTCCAATATGATTCTCCGTTATACACCAAAAAATGTGTTACTACAATATTTCAAGCCACCCTTTCAGGTTGCTTTTCTGTCTGTTCCATGCTGGTAAGGCAACAGCTGAAAACGATGTAAGTGTAGGATGGAACTAAGGACGAGAAGCTTTTCAAGGGAGGTGGGTGCCTTGGCCCATATGACAGCTAACTGGTTCTCAGTAGGGAATGTGGGGATATATTATAATAGGGATTATATTCCCTTGTTCCGCGCTACGAACCCGTAAGACAAGCTTGTCCTCCAGGTAGTATGATGGGCACCGCATGGGGGGGCGCACCTTGCCCCTCCCCCTCCCCCTCTCATGCCCCCTTTCATGAGGTTTAATAATAATCTCCTCTTTCTCCCAAATTCCACGAGCTTAACTTCCTGCAATGCAATCAAGCCTCCGCTTTGCGGCATTCTTAAAACTCAGTTCCTCCCGTGAAAAAGCGATGAAGCGACTTTAAAGGTCCATGTTGACAAGCAGTGGCCCACATATCCGGCCATTTTTGACACCTGCTGGCAGGTCAATCTGACCTGCGGAAGGATTCACAGACTGCTTTCTGAGGTTTCAGATGACTTCTGGACCTTACTCTTCTTCGGTGTGTCAAGTTTGCTACAACTTCACTCGCTACGTGCAAATCTGGGGATCCGTGGCCTGGACATCATTTGCACTTTTTGATTTGCCGCGCAAGTGCTTAGGGAACTTCAGGTTCTGCAATATGTTAGAAACACATATGAGCTATAGTCTAAACTCCTTAAAGGGGGTTATATTTGGGATTATACAGGGGACTAGTTTAGGGGTTATTACGGGGGATGCCAGGAGTTTAGACTATAGCTCATATGTGTGCCAATGCTGTGTGCCAGTGGCCTGCTGCCTCTGCTGGCATCAATCACCTGTCAGCCAGGCACACTGCACAAACACAATTCCCTTTCAGCTTTCCGAGAAGCTCCTGAAGAGGCAGTCTCAAGCCCTACAATGACAGTAACAATAATACTATAGTAGTAACAATGATACTATAATAGTAACAATAATACTGTAGTAGTAACAATAATACTATAATAGCTATAATGATAGTAGTAACCATATCACTCTTCTTGTGCCACATCTGACTCTGCTGGCATGTGGTGCATGTGGTCAGAAGCCTGGGGATGCAGTTTTGTTGAATGCAGGCATCACCCTGAGATGGAGACCAAGCCGTGCAGCTTACCAGCAATCGTAAAGGGGGGGTGGGTGGGTGGGGGTAATATAGTATAGCATAGCATAGCACAGTAACATAGTATACCATAGTAGAACATAGTATAACACAGTACAGCACAGTATAACATAGCATAACATAGTATAACATAGTATAACATAGTATAACACAGTATAACATAGTATAACATAGTATAACATAGTATAACATAGTAGAATATAGTATAATAAAGCATAATATAGTATAATCGAGCATAATAGTATCATATGGCATGCATGGTAATCCCCGAAATGTGCTTGTCCTCATGTTGCCAAGGGATTCAAGCCTGACTCTTTCCTGGCAGTCCTGCATGAGGCACGCTCGATTGGCTTTGCGAGGTTGGGAAGATGCGTGGCCGCGGTCGCCTGCCAAATTACGATTATTCCTGTCACTATTATTAGTAGTATTGTTACTATTATTAGTATTCGTGTTACAAGTATTAGTATTTGTATTATTGTTATTAGCGACATCCACAGACCCATTCACGCCGCCTAACACTTTGTCGGGACTTGCTGGGTGTTGCAGTATGCAGTTTTCGAGGCTGTCGCTAATAACAATATTACAAGAACTGATAATATTAATGAATATTAGCAATAAAAATAGTAACAATAATAGTAATAATCGCAACAATACATGCATTACCTTGCCTGATTTGGACAACTTTCGCCTCTGAATTGGAGACCTGTCCACGCAGATTGCATCTCAACCAAGGTGTGGACGTGTCCGGTCCAACAGCAACCATAGATCCGCAGGCATGGGTGTGCATTGCGGTGTTTGTACTTGTCTACGCCCACCCCGCCATCTTCTCGCTTTCATTTCTGAAAGCTGAATCAAGTCAGTGTGGGTCTTCGTCAGCGTGTGTGGCAAGTTATGCTGGATCTTGTTTGTTGATTCCGTGAACATCATGACACGGCTTGGACTGATGCTGAGACAGGGAGGAGGATTTGTGCGTGGATACAAGCAAAAGAAGCAATTCTCAAAATCTTTCCAGTGTTGCTTTTGAGTGAGTTGTTTAGGTTCGTCATGCAATTTCGTACTTGCGTTCTTTAAAGCCAGGCATGTTATGCGGGCGGGTGATGGGGCAACCTGCAGCTCACCCCACCAGCAAGGGAAAGCACTGCGAAAGAGAGAGAGAGAGAGAGAGAGGTAAAGGGGCCTAGCCCCGCCGTGCTCGAGAGAGCGCGCAGAGCCCATAGAAGAAGAAGGTAATTATAGGTCGACTCAACCCAACTGTGTGAAGCCACGAGGGGTGATGTAATTCCTAGCAGCCCATGGGCTGGGCAGAGACGCCCGGAAACGGTCCTAGGACCTTCCCCATAGCCCGCATGAAAGAGAGAAAGAGGCAGCATGACATATCACGAACATGCATGTTCAATTTTCAGAGTTGGATTATAGTGATAGTAATAACAAGAAGAACAACGACGGTATTAATAACAGCTGTTGCGACATGACCCCAACTTACATCCCTGTAAAACACAACTATATATACAATATACAGTAGTAGTGTCCATGTCCTTTTCCATTATCCCTCAGGAAGCCAAAACCGTAAACCCTAGGATGATCTTTTCCTGGATCAGGCAAGGTACCTTCTGCTGGAGCTGCCTTCTGCAACCTGTCCAGATGGCACGAAGAGCGTGGAGTCCGCACCCCGACTGCCTATGACTGGGTTGCTGTTAGGGAACTCAAGTGAAGTTGCCAGAATGAACTTAAGTTAAGTTGCCGGCATATGGGTATACAGGAAATGACCAGGTTTTCTTGTTATAGTAGCTTAAGACGCTTCCTTCCTTAACAGCAGGCCAGTATTATGTGGTAGTTTCCATGCATAGGAGAAGCCCAATGTGGATTCTTTTGTCCCTCCAGGCAAACCCAGTAGCTCTTTCAGTGAATCTTTGTAGTTCTGCATTGGCAGGCTGATTTTGCATCAGGGCACATGTCCTATTGTCTAAACTCCTAGTATCGACCTCAATAATCCCTGTAGTATTGCCCTATATAATCCCCCATATATCCCCCCTTTAAGGGCTTTCGACTATAGCTCACATTAGAATCATGATTTCTGATGACCATGATGTTGGCGCTAAGCAAGGGCACCGATATCAGGCTTCATGTAGGGGATAATGTAGACCTATGATGAATGAACCCCCTGCTTCCAATTTAAGGGCCCACATATTAAGATCCCCAATATAATCCCCATTAAGGGGAGGGTGTTGATTAATCAGGGGTCTGGGTTATGTTGCAAGGCTGACATCTTGCTGACAAGCACACGCACAAAGCCAAGATGGAGGAGAAACCCTAAACCCTAAACCCTCAACCCTAAACCCTAAATAGTAGTTTCCATTTTCTTTTCCATTATCCCTATATAACCCCAATATATACCCTATAATCCCTTTTTAACCCATTATAGTAGTTTCCATTTTCTTTTCCATTATCCCTATATAACCCCTATAAAACCCCCCCTTAAACCACGTTGCGCTTGATTGCCAGGTAGGTGAATGCAAGGCAGCGGCTGCGAAGCTGGCGAAGATGCACCTTGGCACAATTGCAGTTTTTGTACCATAATGGAGACTTTCCCTTTAGTAGGGATTATTAGGGTTTAGGGTTTAGGGTTTATAATAGGAATCCTAATACTTTGTAGGGATTATAATCGGAATCCTAATATTTAGTAGGGATTATAATAGGAATCCGAGTATACAGGCCTTTAAATGAAGGTTTTTTTTTAAATCATGGGTCTACATTAGTGGCCTTGCCCTTCAGCTGCTCCCACGTCATCGGCCAGTTTGGAATGCCCATGTGCAAAGGCTGGCCTATGAGGATGAGATTTACCAAGAGCGCCTTGTTGAGAAATGGGGGTTTCCCAAAATTAGGGGGTACCTTTTAAGGGGGGGTTTATAGGGCTTATATAGGGATAATGGAAAAGAAAATGGAAACTACTATTTAGGGTTTAGGGTTGAGGGTTTCCCAAAATTAGGGGTACCTTTTTGGGTGACTTTCTAGTACAGATTATTATATTCGGGGGTATATATTGGGGTCCCCCTATTTTGGGAAACTACCAAATCTTGCAAGGATCCAATTCAGAGCGTGGCTGATGTGGGTAGCTGCTTAAATCCAAGTTGCACCAAGGAATGACCCAAGGGGTTGCGTGTTTCGCGTCCCTGACAATGATATGTACTTCAACGATGCCGAGGAAGGTGCGGCGATGTAGATCTAGTGTTGAAAGGGCGGAGAACGTGCACCATCAGCCCTCGTGGATGGCAGCCTGCAACGGGTTCTCTTTCGTTGGCTGCAAAATCCGGTTGTGGCGGCGCACGCGCAGTAGAAAGCCACCCAAAATCCAAGACCATGAGGAAGGTTTCACGTTTTTGTGGCGTTAGGGGCAGTACTGTAAGTAACCCCAAAATGGATCTGAACTTTGACAACTCAGCAGAGAACCTGTCACCTCCAGCAGCTCTGATCAGGGCGAGAAAACTCAGCGAGACGCCTAGTTTGCAGGGCCTCAAGCTGAATCTGGGCAGCCAAAGGCCATTGCGGGAAGATGTTTTACTTAATGGTGGTCGGTATGGAATACGGGAATATAGCCCTATATGAGCAGCCGCATTTATTTACGTCAGACTAGAAGACTGCGTCGTCGCTTGTATAATCCCTATGTGATATATTTCCTTATTCCCTACTAACCCCCAGCACAGCAAGCGTGTAGGGTAAGTCCAATGCCAAAGTTGTAGGGATGCCAGTCTTTCCGAGTCACCAGCATTCCAACTACAATCAACCAATTGAAGAGGAGAACTGCCTCCCTGCGGCACTGAAATGCAGCCGGCAGTGCAGCGACAGCAACAGCCTTGCCAAAGATCGCTCAAGGTTGAAGCATGCAAAAAGGTGCCTGTGCACAAAACTCAGGTTCCAAACGGTACGCTGCTCTGTCTTGCACTGCTCTTTTGGCTACATGAACTGATGTTCTGCAGACCACCCCTGGGTTTGATTGAGTGGTCCAGTTGCTGTGAACTTGTTTGAATCCCACATAAAATGGCTTCCCAAGATCTACTCACGCATGCTGCTTTACCCCTCAAGCACGTCTTTTGGTGTGGATTCTCTCACTTGGTTGGAGTCTAGACTGCAGAGCTTCATGAATTATATGTACTGAGGTTTTAATGCACAATCCCGAACTCCATCCCTAAAATTTTGTGCGGGCGTCTGCTCAGAGAGGTTTGCCAAACTAGTTGGGCCAGGGCGGCCTACACTACAACTGGTAGGATATCAGACGACTGCTAGGTCCTCTCTATGGGCGTCCATTGCACAAGAGATCCTGTATGCAACACGCCTGCCTGCTTCATCGCTGACACCTTTTGAACGCTGGAACTTGGCCCGACATGAACCATTGGCTAGATGGATTTATGATTGCATACCACACGAGTTTTTCAAAGGGTCCATACAGGGGTTCGTAAGGTCGTGAAGTGGCATATTTCCAACCCTAAGCCCCGCATGATTTGGGACGTCCAATTCCTTGCCGTCCTAGCTCAAATAGTTGTAATTTCTATCGACCGGCTGACACTGACAGTGGCAAACAGGGGCCAAAAAAGGCGGCAGTATACCAGGAAACCGTGTAGCCAGACATGCCCATGACCCATGACCAAGGGCCTTGTGAGAGGCCTGATGCACGTCACATCACATTCCTGTTCGGTGGAGTTGGGGTTCCACTGATAACGTCTTCAAGCGTTGCATCAACAGTCCACCCAAGATTGTGCACGAACGTTTGCTCGTGCAATGCGGAAGCCTCTCATACTGTCATTTTTCTTCTCACAAGTCATCGCCACTGGGAGATAGACCAGAGGGCCTTCCATCGCTGCGATGCCAAGACAGCTTTCCAATCCTGGATTAGATTTAGCAGCCAGCATCCTACCCGAACTGCTGCGAGATGAATTGCAACTTGCGGGGTTGTCAAGTGTGTCCAGCTTATTGCAACTTCCATGCCCTTGTGTACCCTGCAAGCAGCATGCCCACCAACTGTTCTGGAATTTCACCGGGATATGTGCAGTTTGTCAATCTGGCCTCAGAGTGATCATCTGGACTGACCATTACTCATGAGTGGGGGCTGACTGACGGAAAGTAGCTGGTCCAGAGGATCTCAGCTTATTTGTGATGCTATGTGCCGGTATTTTGTTGGTATGCGTGAAAGTGCCGTCAGGCTTCGTCTGCAAACCGCAGCCGCCTTCGCACCAAGGTGTGCTGATGTCTTCCACGCAGATTTTTGCACTTGTTTGCCGAACATTTTGTACAGACTTTACGTCTCCAAGTCAATTACCTTGATCGTTTTTGTCTGTGTTTCTTGCCACGCCGAGACTGGAACTTCAGGGCAGGTCTTTGCTTTTCGCGCAGTCTTGACACACTACAAGACCCTCAATAGAGCAGTTGCGCACGAGTGAACAAAAATCTGGAAGAAGACGTTACTGGGGCCTCTTGTACTCCCGTTCTGGGTGCTGCTAATCATTTCCAGAACGTCAAGTAGTAAGAAGTCTGTTTTGTTGTAACATCTTTTTTGACAACACTGCATCCTGCCAAGAAGGACCTCGTGTTGCAACTGCAGCTCCCTAACCCCTAAACGCCAAACCCTAGATCATCTGCTTGCCGAATTGGGGCATTGATGCAGCATGCAAGGAAGCAGCCCAGCTTCGCTCGATGTCACTCCTACTGCAGCTGTTGATCCTGGACAGCACTTGGCTTTAAGGGTGGTTTAGGGTTTGGGGTTTAAAGTATATTGGGGGTCATATTGGGATAATGGAAAACAGAATGGAAACTAGTAAGGTAGAAGCTACTAAAATGCATTAGGTTATAGTAGGGGTTATATTGGGGTAAATTAATAGGAGTATATTAGGGCTATATTGGGATAATGGAAAAGAAAGTGGAAACTACTAAATTATAATCGGGTATATATATATATATGGGTTCTGTAAGGGGAAGGCTGCCGACGCGTGGGTTGCTGTAAGTATTGGCGCTGAGCCGCAGCAGGCAGTCAGTGCCAACGCAATGACACTAAGGTCAGGAAACCTGGCATGCGCCGAGGTCTTAGTTTCTCCGCTTTGGCCAAGTGGGTGGTTGTCAAAATTATGGTCCCTTTTTGAGTACCCTAACTATTAGGTGCCGTATTTTTATAGGGATCAAAATAGGGACCACAATTTTGACAACCACCCAAGTGCTAGCCTGATGGGGTTTAGGGTTTAGGGAATGGGCATCGTCTAGGCTTGAGTCTCCGGATGAGCCAGGAAGTCCGCAAGATAATTGAGGGGGGAATATCGCGCGTGAGATCTCCACAGTGAAGCTGCGCAGATGTGCTTGCCTGACAGTTGGGGCGAGGACGGCCCCAGCACGCTTTAATCATTATGTGTATTTGAAGTATAGACTGCACAAGAGATGCTCCTTATCCAAGGCAAGTCTCCTTTCCAATCCAGAGCAAGGTAGATTTCACACTGCATATGTATATATATGTATGTATACTGATATCCTGGCTAGAAGTGACCACCTTGAGTGCTGATTGCTGTCTTTCCCCTACGGCAACTGAGGCCGTCGAATCTTTCAGGAGGCGACCAAACTTGCGCCAAGAGTATTGCCACAAGAGTTGCTGCGCCTCTTCTTGCCTAGCCAGTTGCGAAAGTCATGAAAGTCTGAGTTTTCGGGCTTACCATTTTTAGCATTGTGAAGCTCGGCAGGCTCTTATAAGCACGCCTAGGATGTTGCACTTCTTTGTAGCATCTGTAATATAGGATGCCCGATGCGTGATGCATTATTGTAGTCTTTTGTAGCGGTCCTTGACTAAGACAAGCCTGCAAGAGCCAACAGGTATCGGTCTCAGCTTCTTAGAGTGTTGAGAAGATTGACAGGCGCGACATCATCTAGGCGCGCAGTGCCGCCGTTGCATTCTCCGATCACTCATGTCATGATGACGTTGTGCACGGTCTGGGGCGATGGTAAGCATCACCGAAAGTATGTGACCGGTTTGAAGCACTCGCAAATGCACCAAGCCTCGATGGAAGACTTGTGCAGAAGCTTTCAGCAGGCAACAACATTGCGAGAGACTTACGAACATGCGGTGCGAGGGATCTGAGCGTGAGCATAGGCGGGCTGTTCTCTTCTGTGCCGCAGCCGCGTCGCCCAGAAAATTGAGTGTGGCAGATGAGTAATACTGCGATGTACTGGGCAGCCAAGGGCGCAATTGTCACACACTTTTCTGAGTGAACCTTACCGAGCAGCCTTATGGAACGTGCTCAAGTTAGTTTGCGGACGCGTTTGGAATCATGTTCTGCTGCTGCGTTGCAGAAGACAAAGTCCCGGACGGAGGGGATGCCCCTTTGATTCCCGAACAACTTCCGCAACCCAGCGAGGCGGCCTTCATGAAGACTTTCGCTATGCAGATTTGGAGCAGAGCAGACGTAGAGTAGCGAATCCAATACGATTACTATTATTATTATGATTGCTATTATTATTACTAGTATTTATACTATTACTATGAGTGTTACTTTTACTATGGCATACTATTGCTATTGCTAATTACTAATTACTATTCATTCTTACTCTTGCTCTTGCGCTTATGCTTACTCTTACTCTTACTCTTACTTTTACTCTTACGCTTACTCTTACTCTTACTCTTACTACTGCTGCTACTGCTGCTACTGCTGCTGCTGCTGCTACTACTACTACTACTACTTCTACTATTGCTGTTACCATTATTAGTATTATTACCAGTACTACTACTATTACTATTGCTCTTTCCTCTTCACTCTTGACTCTTTGCTCTTTACTTTTTTCCTCATACTCTTACTCTTACTGTACTCTTACTCTTATTGCTGCTTTTCTTTCTACTCTTACTACTCTTCCTACCCTCACTACTACGACGACGACGACGACTACTACTACTACCACTACTACTGCTACTACTACTTCTACTACCACCACTACTACTACTACTACGACTACTACTACTACTACTACGACTACTACTACGACTACTACTACGACTACTACTACGACTACTACTACTACTACTGCTACTACTACTGCTACGGCGATGACTCAATAAAGTAGATGCTGGCCTGCCATTTATGCTCTGCAGCCAGCTGAGGACAACTCCAGCCATGCAGCCCGATGATGAAGAAGCTGCACCGAGTCTGCCTGATGTTTCTGGGCTGCTGTCCAGGAATTTTTCTGAGTTACTATAAAGAAACTCTATCATCTACTATATACCCATAAGAAGGTAACTTAAACTAAAGTTCCTTAACATCGCCCAGGTTTTTACAGTGATCTTGCGGCGCGTGGAGCTCAGAGTGAGCTTCTTCACGGGTAGATCCTTGTGTGGGCGTTTCCCAAAATCAGGGGTCCCTTTAAGGGGTACCCATGCTAAGGATTTCTAGTATCTTGGGGACACTCTGAGAACTTTCAGGTTTCCTTATGCAGCTCCCTTTGACCCGATCCAAACTCCTGTCCCGAAGGGGCACAGGGGCGTTGGGTGTGGGCCCATCT